ATGATTTCTACGATGATCCAGAGCCACGTCTGTTTCGGTGAGAGCGTTGTCCTTTTGTGTTCCGCGTTCGAAATTTAAATCAAATTCGCAGTCTATGAAATTATTTTACGGATTTAGCACGCTTAATATAAATATTAATTTTTACGTTGACGTTTTTTTTTTTTTTTTTTCGAATTTCGTAACAGTTTCTGTTCGGATGCGTTTTATGAAATTAAAATTAAAGTTTTTGCGAAGTTGTAATAACCCGCAAAATCGAAATACTATACTGTACTTACTTATGATTTTATTAAAAATAGTACGAGCTGCTACGAGTATATGGAAACTTGTTAAAAATTTTCGCCAAAAACTGGATACGGGACTGACTCAGATGCCCAGGTTTCGTAAGCACGGGATTTACGTTTATCGCTTACGGGGATGCGTTCAATCACAACACTGAAACTTAAAACTAAGCGCCTACAATATTTTATGTTTACCCGTAACACATGTGAGTTTTAAGTACCTGTTAAACTAAAGGTTATGTGGTTTTATCTTTTAAAAAAAGAAAATGAGCCGCAAGCGCGCTGAAGTATCTCTGCCTACTACCGAATCGTTCTTATCTATATAAATTATGTAATCGGAATCTGGGAAACGGCTCCAGCGATTTTCATGAAATTTACTATGTGCGTGATGATTCGCGGGCGAAAAATCGATGTAGCTAGGTTTCATTTTTAGAAAATGTCCTTTTATCCCTGTTTTCAGGGAATGAAAAATATCATTCGAAGATGACGGTAAATTTTGCCGCAAAAAAAAAATGTTATAATAGCTCGGTCGGAAATCGGGCGGCACCAAAACAGACGGCCACGGTTCGTATCACGATCATTTACACACTTATTTTTTACTTTTTTTTTCTATATCAGATCATTTTCTTTATTTTTTTTATTTCCAAAATACATGATTTACCAAAAAAAAACAAGCAAAGTTCGGTCCTCCAGGTACTAAGATATAAGTCATCATTATGACATAGTTTACAGTCTTGTTTAAATTGTTTTGATTAGTTTCATTAAAATTACAAGGAGTATGTTCTACTCATAGAAGGTAAGTTTCTTGATGTTCGATATTTGAAACTGTTCAAGTATTCAATCGAAGAAAAATTCAATTTCGAATTGAAAAAGTTTGCTCTAAATTACTAAATTGTTAACAATAGCCAGTGCTTGATAGACTAACTTAATAAAAGAATATGGTTGTATAAGATAACCTATTTGTTTGTAAGAATATTATTATTCTGCATTCATAGGTTGTTTAATTAGCTACCGTTTAATGGTGGGAAACTTAACTCGACGCAGTCTCGTGGTAATTTCTTAAAGCGGTCGTAAGTAGAGCTTATTACAGACGCTGTAAAAATCTCTGAAAGCTTTCGCGTCTGTAATAGACGTGGCTCGGTTTATGTACCCATAACCGGGGAAGTGCGCAGTTGAGATGAAGCGATTGGAAATAAAAGGCGGGAGGAAATTTCCCAACTGCTGAACGTTATAAAGGCTCTGATTCGGTTAGCTTTATATACACTCACGTTTTGTACGAACAGGGTTTTATTTAGGTCATAAATTTCTCATTAACAATAGAAAAAATAAAAGTAACACAGCGATATAAAATTACCATTCGTAATGCTTAAATAAAAAAGTTATGGCTTAAAAACAAAAGATCCTTGCCTCATCGCAACGAAGATAGTAATCTGACAGCTTCAGCGGAATGGCTGTGTTCAATTTCGCAGAGGCGTCAAATAAATCAAATTCACGTCCGCGTAATCAATAACGTCGTCAATTCGCCGGCGACGGGGTTCTCGGGGGGGGCCCTTGAAACAATTAAGTTCATCCGCCCCCCTCCCCTCCCCAGCCCCGCTGTAATATCGCGCCGTAATTACGCCGTTAAGGAGACGCGCGGCGTGGATTTTACGCACTCCGCCCGTAGACTGCGCGTAAACTTGTAATAACCGCTCGTAATACGCTTTTGAGACGACGCGTAAATTGTAATACACGCTAAGGGGGACCGTTTTAGGGAACCACAAATCTTAATATACGCGCAACGTCTTATAAATATTTTCTAACGTTTCGAACGTGATTAAATTTGTAGATTCATAAATATCCAAATGCTATAATATGAAACATTTTCAGAAATATACGTAACCATTTGTAATTGCAACCGTAATTATTAAACCTACTAGTATCTACTACGGTTTAACGTTGTTTCAATAATAACGTTCAGGATTTCAATTTATGTATTCGTTGTTTCCGTGTATGCTGTAGTAACGATTGAAACTTCTACGCTTCTTTGGGCATCTTTCCCTTGAACCTGCGGAACCTTCTAGACGGAGGCTGGCTAACGAGCCGGCGTCCGCTCTGATTTCCAATTCAAAGGGAAAATCGCGATCCATAACCCGTGCACCCCACGGGGTGGGGTAGTGGGGGCGCCCCCCCGTCCGGTTGCTACGCGACGCGGGGAGGAGCCGCCGCAATCACGGCCCAATGGCACGACGGATATAAATTGCTCTCGAGTCGCGACACTGACGCGAGAGCGAGAGGCCCCGGATCGCACCGCCACCTGTCCCCCTCCCTCTAATGAAGTCACCGGACCCCCTGATTGACGGACCCGGCCGGGGCCCTTTTTCGAAATGCAGCGCCTTAATGTTAGGTATCGGCGCGACGCTGTGATTTGTGTTGGCTGCTACCTACCGCGGGCTTTATTGGCCGTTTTCCCGTTGCACTCGCGACGCGACCGACGCGCCTATGTATCCGACGTTTTGCGCACCGCGGCGATTCATGCGCTCCTGGTAACCTAGGCCGACTTTGTTCTAGGCGCACAGAATAGGACTCTTCCGTAGACCCTCAAAAATGTGTCGCCATTGTAATTGTGATAACATCTATGAAACGAGAAATCCATGAGAATTATCAAAAAATAAATCGATTTCATTACTAAAATCATACGATCGCAATCACTTAATTTTTAATCAGTTAATAGATAAAACAATTTAATTTCTTTAATATGAAATTATTAGAAACGTCCCTCTTATATATGACAAATTTAATTTATCACAGAGAGAATTTTACGGTGGTAGGGCCACGCAGCAGCCTCGGCTGTTGCACGAAAGGGCAGGCCCGTCCGGGTAAGTACCACGACCTCACAGAAGACCAGCGTAAAGTGGAAGTATGACAATTACTTTCGCGTTTCGTCTGGTGAGTGAGGTAGCCGGAGCGCAATTTATAACAGAGAGAATTAAAACTACGAAACAATCCATAGAGAAGACGTCGACAATAAAGTGCGGCGATATTAAATTCTTCACGCGTTCGAATCACGTTACGTAAACGGTTAATAGCGTATATAGCGTCGGCTATAAATTTTTGTAAGTCCGGCGTTGGGTCGCGAGCCGCATCCCTAATGCGAGCCGGACTTGGCAGAGATTACGCGAACGTGCATTAATATAGGCGTGTGGCGCGTTATCTAAACTGGTAGGGTTGTCACAGATTCTTTAAGCTTTGATATATTTCGTTGACCTTTCGTTATTTATTTCTATTTCACTTAAATAATTTACACTCTGTACATATTCAATATTTTATTTTAATATTTGATTATTTCTTACTTTTCAAAATACTATCCATGACAGTTTGTTTATGACTAGACAACCATCGCGCTCTTTTCTAGAAATTATCTGCAATTCATTACAGCTTTGTAGAATTAATCTTTATTGAATTATTCTTCGTCGGCAGTATTTCCTCCACGAAAAGTGTACTTCAAGAAGAGGCATAGATCTGGTGTAAATTTTTGGGCAACGGTTACGCTCTGCTGGCGCTACCAATATCCATTAGTGCTTTTTAATTGTTTTCAATAAGTATACTTCAGAGTTTGAAGCTCTGGTGGTCTAGAAAACTACTTATAGTTTATATGTACATACTTAGGTCTCGTTACTTTAAATCACTCAAGCATTTACGAAGAATGAATTCTGAATTACATCACGGAATACCAAATAAGTATAATATTCCTCTGACGGCAATGGTTAGTACCTGTTATAGATGCACTGTCTTGGCTATACCATAATATGACTATAGCATAACATAACTGTTATGGTATAATCATAATAGCTATGTTAGTGATAGCCCTAGCGTACGAGCTTACCGCGATCACGTCACGTCGTCGCCGCGTCAGCGCGGATCGATACTCGTGGGACTTTGGCACGGAGTATTGGACGTGGGACTTTGCCACAACCTGCCGCACTATGCTACATGTTGTCGGCAAACTTAATTCGTTAATGTTTTTTTAAGCCTGATGGGGTAGGTACACAGATAGTTCCATCCCCGGTAAAATAGCTATGATTTCGTTATAACAGTTATTTAGAGTGGTGCGTTTACAGTGCTGAATATGTTTTTTTTTTCTATTATTTCATGATGCAGAATAAGTTTTGTCTGTCTGTTATTATCATCCAAACTCATCTCCCATGTAAGAAAGCTGTACAGGTATTACCATAAAATGTACATCGAAGATCTTACATATCCGATATGTTTTATCTTGGATATGTAAGATCTTCGAAATTTTTCGGAATTTATTCGGTTGACGATATTACAAAGCTATAGACTTTGGCTTCGCGGGTCGTATCTACGGTGATTGTTTGTTTAGTTCAATTTATGTTTTTAAACGGAAAATCATTATTCATTGGAAAAAATTTCATGAATTATAAATCTTCTATCATGATATCAAAGAATATTCTGATTAGTGGATAATAAACCTGTCTCTCGCAGAGGATGTGAGTTCAATTCACATTTCTAGAAAATATTGCGAGGTATATAGTTACTTTGAAATGAAAACCTTACACGTATCTTTATCATTAGCTGGCACTGGACCACGTTGTGTGAAAATATGTCAAAAGAAATCTGCGTCAGTCTGAATCGAACGCACTTTGTCTGCGGTACCTGTCTGAATCGGACGTCCTTTGGCTGAGAGTTGAATTATTAAAATTTATTATCTGTTGCCCTTAGGCGAGAAGCCGCACAAATGCCAGGTGTGCGGTAAAGCGTTCAGCCAGAGCTCGAACCTGATCACGCACTCGCGAAAGCACACCGGCTTCAAGCCGTTCGCCTGCGAGCTCTGCGGCCGCGCGTTCCAGCGGAAGGTGGACCTCAGGCGGCACAGGGAGACCCAGCACGCCGACCTCAGAGCACCCCAGAGCCATCTGCCCCCGCACACGGACGTCCACGCGATGCACCCGCAGGAGATCCACGGAGTCGATCACCGAATAGGTAGGACCGAGTAGACCTTGAACCAAAAAGGCTGGCTGATATTTTAGACGTTTGTACTTGAGAGATACGTGTTTAAAGACACGATAATGACGCTTGCAATACGAGATAAACGTAACATTCATTCTGCTTGCATACATAACGGCAGGTTATACCCGTTGATGTACTGAACTGGAATAAAAACACTTCACGTTACACGACAAAAACGACTTCCTTTAGGTAGAGTTCGATTTTACTTAAATTTATTAGTGAAAAAAATTATTTGCACGAGCTGTCCTTTACGCTGAGTATCAATTTGTAAAAAGACCAGGAATTAATAACGGAAAGAACCGCGTGGGAACTTGTGGCCGTTGCTTCGTCCACCTTGGTTTTGTTAACGCTTAACCTTTACTTCACGATGTTTTCTTATGAGTCGTCATCGAACACGAGACGCGTGGAAGAAAAGGGGAATGCGTCAACAATATTCAGAAAAGTTTTTAGCATTCCACCAGACGCCAGTACTTCCCGCGGTACATGTTGCACCGGTTTAAAACGTCACTCCCCCCACAGATCTTCGTCCCCCCCACCCGGATCTGCGTCAGCACCCCGAGTTCAGAGGCCACATGGCGACCGGCGTGCCACCCTTGCAGCCTCTGCCCTCCTGAAGCGCGGCCGCCTTCGCGCCGAACGATTGGCGCTAAGGCAGACACGACCCACCACGACTCAGCGAGTTGACCCTTGTACCAAAGACATCCTGCACCAAAGACCGTTTACCTTCTATAGTTGCCACATTGCAATAATCGTGCTACAGCTGCCACGAATGCCACAATGTAATAATCGCAATCGCATATGACGCGGTGTCCGAAGGTCTGACGTTGTCACACGTCTGCACGCATGCGTTGAGGCATACATGTTACTTGTGAGTGTACACATATGTAATTCAGTTTGCACAAAATAATTTTCCACTGTTGTTTCTATCAGTTACAGCCAGCTGTCATATTTTCACAGCTGCCATATCGGCCATAATGCAATACTTTCACGCAGACTGCCCCGGTGTCCAGCTACAAAGGAATGTTTAAGGAGTTCGATAACTTTAAACTAAATTAGAGATATTAAAGGAATATTGCGCGCCAGATAACACAATTATTAAATAAAGCTGACTAGTCAATTGTCATTTGAGGACATAGGTTAACAGCTATATCATATGATAACAGCTATATGTGGTACCTTACGAACCTATACACATAATCTTTGATGTAAAATTTGACGATTCATAAGAGCGCGCAAGCGTCTATTTGAATAAATATATTTTTGATTTTGATTTATCTGTCCTCATCATAAGACTTATGGCTTTGATGCATATATCGTTGATTTTTAACTCTGGACATTTGCGGAGAGGCGTATGCAATTTTAGAACTTATCACAAACACACGTCAAAGCGATATCGAAACTGTAAGCGCGGTAAAAACCCAGCTAAATAAGAAGAGTACGTCCTTTACCGTAATGTGTCAAAGATTAAAGCCACTTTTAACGATAAGAAAGGCCTTGGTGCTGACGTTTCTGTTAACATTCAATTAAAAAAATACCGTTGTATGAATATTTCCGGATTTTTTAACATAGTCTGTCTCTTGATACTACGGTAGTTTGTAGTTAAATTAAATTTATATATTATTTGATTATTAAATTAAATTGGGAAATCTCGTCGCGCGCTGGTCTTATAACCGTTGCTTTAAGACTTAAGAAAGAATGGACTTTTTAATTCGGACAAATCTGCCAGAACCATTTCTTTTCGGCATAGTAAGAACAAGCCTTATTAAAAAATAGCGACCTGCCTCGGCTTCGCACGGTTGCAATGTATTACTCATATAGCAAAAAAACGCATCAAGATCCGTTGCGTAGTTTTAAAGATCTAAGCATACATAGGGACAGGTGGACAGCGGGACACTTTGTTTTATACTATGCATGTAGTGAAACGCAATAATTCATATTTCCCCGAAACATTTTGCAATGCTTTATTGAAATATTAGCGGAATTCTAAGCTGAAAGTAGACCTAGGTATAATTTAGATGTAAGATATCGTGAAATTAACCTATGAGGTATATGTTACGTGCATAAAAAAGAATTTTATCGTTAGCTCTAAAATTGATAAGGCACAATTATTCATTACATTCGTTTTGAATCTTTTTGATCTCATCTAAAGTGTCTCTGTTGTTAAAATTTATGGTTTTTAATATACGAAACATGAATTTATTTAATCCATGGAAGATTTACCACAAGATAAAATCCACCATTACATAATATGATATCTATTAACACAGCTTATGTTATAACGCAATACCAAAGTTGACCTAAAACACATTCCTCATTTTTTTTCTTTATGTACATGGTATCATTTCTTACTATTGGAAAACATTAACATATTTCATTGTATATATTCATTATAATGAATTTTTTTCCAACAGACTGATAAAGTCATTCCAAATACACTCCATTAGTTAGTTGAAAGTTGTTTTGCGAAATGAAAAGGCATCCCTTTTCGTAAGCGCAATATCATTCCCATTGACGCTTTAAAGTTCTAGAAACATACATAAATGTATTTCGGTATATTTGTACATTGTGAGTTATAGAAAACCGTTGTTTGGTTATGTACTAAAGAATTGATCGCTTGTAGCGTGTCGCAACAAACCAAATTTAAATGTATTAACCTTTATATATCCATTGTAAATATGCATAAGAAATGTTATTAATTTCCATTTAAACAATTAAATGAAAGAAATGAAGAAAAAAATTAAGGTTTTATTATGTATACTCCATAAGGAATCACACGACATTTTTAGCGTGACGGAACGTTTATAAAAGACATCAATGTATATTTTTAAAATATTTCCAAGTACAATATTGAAAGCCAAAGTTTGTTGTTGTTTTTTTGATTTTGTAGTTTACTAAAGTACTAGAGAAAATTTACTTATACATAACTGAGTGCACAAATTTCTTTTTGTATTTACATTTTAAAAATAGGCAATTCGATTAATTCGTGTTATATAGATGATAAGTGCTTTATTATGTTCAAATTAAATGACATACAACGTAAAAGACATGCCAGTGACCTCATTTGTAGGTATGTGACTAATAGTTTAAGTAAAATCTTATGAATGAGAAACACGATCAGCTATAATTCATTTCTTATTATTTTAGTGCCATAAACGATAGCTTAAATTTACATTATAAGGGACAACGTATACTACGTATTTTACGGATAGGTGTAGTTCCATTTTTAACATGTATACTGAATAATTTACAAATATCTACCGTACTCTATCTACATTTACCGATCGTCTATTGTTTATAGTTAAATAATATAATTGTTTAAATCATTGTCTATTATCTGTAATTATGTATATTAATTGTGTATTTTATATTTATCACCTCGAGATTTTTAAAATAATCTAGTGCGAATGTTATGTACTCACTGTAAATAATGTATAGAATTAAATTAGCCGTATGAACAAATCCAAAGAAAAACGTGCAATCCCATTGTCATTATTATTATTGAAAATTACGTTATAAGCAACTTTCACTTCAATAAATGACGATGTATAAAGCCACCGCCTTTTATTTATTGAAAAATTCACTACTAATTTAAAAAATGTTGTCTTTTTAGGCAAAATAATTCCTTCAAAACGCTTAAAAAAGGTTCTAATTAATACAAGTGTAAGCCTAACTATAGAAGCTAACAGTTGACTTCTGAAGGACCATAATGAAAAAATATGCTAACCGTAAATTATTTTTATACTGTCATGAAAACAATGTGCGAAGTCCTCAAATTAAACCATCGCAATAAAAATTTAATTCATACTATTTATATTAACAAAACGTCAGTTACAACCTTTTATTATATGTATAATATTTTATTATGCAATTGATGTCATTACTTCATAACTATAAAACCCCAAAAATATTTTTAAATTTCTACGACTGATAATACTCGAAAATTCTCAGTATCCAAAGCGAAAACATCTTCAGGTAAAGACAAAGAGTCTTTAATCTTTGATCTGAGGTTACAAGACACGCAGACATAAATATCCTAAACGTAAAAGCTTTCTCGACGATATGCTTTGCGAGAAGGTTGCGGTAACTGGATTTGAGAGGCTCCCAGTGAGTTCTCCGATTACACCGCAGGAAGACGGGATCACGGCGGGGCATTAGAGGGCTTTTAGGGTTAAATTACGAAACTCTTATCGCGGCCTCCTTTGAATGTAAATTAAAGGAGACGCCTTCGAAAATTATAACCGATCACCTCCATTGCAAAGTTATTTCAAGTATCATCTTCGAAATAAGCACGATCTACAATTCCACTTCTACTTATACTCTCACAATCTAATCCCGTGTCACACAAGATTTGTGCTTAAATTTAAAGGGGAGGTGGGGCGAACGTTACAACCAGGGCTATACTACAAGCGAATAAATTGGTCAAAGCAATCAAAACAATAAATGTTGCAGTTATTGACAGTAATAAAGTCAACACAGTGTAATACCGAAATCGCATTGGCAAGCGGTATACAAGGAACAAGGTTGACATGTTAACCGGACCCAGAGGTCGTCTGACCATATACATACACCTCATTAAAACAACGAAACTAATTCAGTTTGACCTCGTCTTGTGTACCGGACGTCTGCCGCCGACGGCACAGAACTGTAAACTAAAAGTCAAAACACGCACTAATGTATTTGCGAGCTTAGTGCAATAGCTAGATTTTAGTCAACCCGCTTTCCAGTGGTAGGGCCCCCAGCAGTCACTATTGCACGATTGGGCAGAATCCAGAGAAGTACTACGACCTGACAGAAGGATGACGTAACCCGGAAATGTTACTGTTGCCTTTAAAAGGTTGGCAACGCATTTGTTACTGCACAGTTCTACCAGACCTCAATCGGGTGCAAAACAATAAATGTAATGAGATAACATTGATTGTTATTAGATAACAATAGATAGATTTAATCTTGTAAATAAAGACAATTAAAAAATGATCGCACAAGAAAAAAAAAATGAAATATTGGGTGCATAAATCACTCAACATGTTGTCCATCGCCATTTAGCTTTCACAGAAAAAATAAGCTGCCATTTACGGAGGTGTTGTGACTGATGAAGCTTCACATAATATCCTTGGCCTACCACAAGGACATTATGTGAAGAAAGGCTTGGTAGCTAGTCTGTGAGCGAAATCATGTTACGTTAAAAAGAATGATGTTATAGTTGCATTTGACTAATTAAAAAAAAATAACCGAGCGCGTTTGCAATAAAAAGCGACGGACGCGAGTTAAAAAGTTGTCGCCTAATGAAAACGATTGCAGCGGGTGAACGATAAAATGTTTGCCAATCATTGATGAGTGGTGCGTTGTTTGCGCAGCCATGATCGATTGCTCATTAAACTAATGGTCGATTATATCACCGACTGTTTGTTGTGCTACCGTAGGCCTGTCGAATGAGAATAGACAAACATTTGGTCCAATTAAAACGACGGAGAGCTTGTCCCGATAAAAAGTTGAACTAAAATCGCAATTCGAAAACACTACAACTATTTATGAATACGTTATTCTAAATTTCTTCAATGCGTATTTAGATATTTAATTGGAAAGTTGTGTGTTACACTTAAAAAAAAGTCAA